TACTGGAGATGAGAAGCGGTGCCTTCACGTAACCAACAGGTGGGAACGTCAATGGCTGGGTCAATCAGAAAGGGCTGAAACTACTGTGAGCTCAGATCTGTTCAGTAGGAAGAGCGTGCTGAACGTCTCCTATAGTGTTCGTGGAGTATATTATCTAGAGCTCCTCCCTCTTGACACCACGGTTACGAGCAAGGTCTAGTGTAGTCGGCTACGAACTTTAGCGAGAAAGCTCCAGTTTACCTCTCTGGAACTCGACAAAGTATACATACCCCACGACAAGACGCATGCAAGATAGCATGTTCCACGACAACGCAGCTTGGGATTTCGAGGCTTGACTCGGAAGCTATAAGTACGCTCCGCATACCCATTCTTGCCCTTCAGCGTCCATTCTGAAGGCAAGAAATACAATTCTGCGGAAAATCTCGAAAATAACCTCACCCTCCTTCTCAACTCGATGCATGACTTCTGGAGACGAAGCATCCACTCCCTATGTATATATGCATTTGTATATATATATTTATATTTATATTTATACTTATATACACCAGGCGGCCACTCACGCTATCGCGTGCGCTGGTTGCTCTAGCCATAAGGGACGGAGCCACATGAGCTTCTGCTTTTATTATAGACCTTTATAATCTGACCCTCTTCCCTGACACTTCTGGCCATGATTTTTTGTCTCATGGAAGCATGGGATTTTTTCGCTAGATCTAGAAAATTTGGACTGACCGGCAAGCTGTTCAAGAAGGGTGTTTGATGTGTAATAGAGGTTTGTCCTGCTCGGCTGTGGTATTAGCATGGTATACATAGCACTTGATTTGAAACATGTAATTTATCAAAGCAACACTTGAGAGGAGAGAACCGAAGGGTAGTTGTAGGGGTTTATATGTCTCTACTGGGTATGTGACTGTGTCGGCGGGGTTATCGTAGAATTTATCTCATGAGGTCTGAAGTTAATGTAGTGCATTTGCTCTTGTGTAGAAAGGACTACTGTGTGTGTAACCATGGATACTAACTTTCAGAAAACTTTTAGCCTAATTTTTGAAGTGTTCAGTGGTATCCCCTAGTCGTACACCTAAGTGGTCAGGATTACTGTGAAGGACAGATGTTAAAATTTTTGATCTCAGCCCGCTCCCTCTTTGCAAACCCCATTAACTTCAGACATAGAAACACATTACTTATACTACTTCCAGACAGCTCTTTCCCCCATTCTAAAACGCATCTGAAGAGACTTAATTATTCTGATGCAAGCCCCACCCACCTCAGTGCCAATCCCGCCCACTTATGGGATTTGATCGAATTTGTTCTTTTACACCTTAACACCTTTTTGCCACATCCCAGAACGTTTCTGATTAGGTGGAGGACAGCCATGCGGTTTCGGAGAGGGTACAGCTTAATCGATCATATCCACACTCTAACAAGGCTCATTGAAGTATCGCGAGAGTACAAAATGCCGTTATGTCTTACTTTATCGATTTGAGGAAAGTCTTTGACACCGTTGAGACAGAGGCAGTATGGAAGCCTTGAGCAATCAGGGTTTCCTACTCAACATATAAGGATGCTTCGTGAGGTCTACGACAACTTCACGACCAGGATTTTACCATTCTACAAGGAAGTCATTGTCAACGTGAAGAAAGGTGCCAGCAAGGCGATACTATTTTGCCCAACTTTTCAGTGCCCCTCTCGAAAATATTGTAAGGGATGGGTAAAGCGCGAGTTAGCAAAATACATTTACTAGCCCCGAGGTTTACGGTACGGTTAATGTTTACAGTTCAGTTTGCCTTCGCGTCAATTCTCAGCTTCATTTTTGTTTTCAGACGGCAGCTGAGATAAGGCTGGGAACTGTATAAAAGCCGCGCACGACCGTACTCGAGGCTTTTCTGGCACGCTGGTACTCCGACTACATCTACCCAAGACGACGTCACGTTTCGGCGGACCTCACCACAAACTCCAAATTACTCAACCCAGTGACCTACGGCCGAGGACACTCGATGGGTCTCGTGCTCGTCTTTCCCCAGACCAGAGGCCCCGGGGCCATTCTTCATATCCGCATATGTTCATGTCGCTATATCGCCTGTATTGCCGCATGTTATCAATCGTGTTCCGGTTCTATATTGTGTCTTAAGGATAAACGATATTATGTACGAGGTGTTATGCCTTGGATAGGTCATGACCTGAGGCTGAGATTGGTTTTGGATTGGTGGGCTGATAGTCATAGCAGTAGTTCCTTTCTTCGGAGAGATGCCTGGTTTAAGCCTCGACCGGGGAGCTTTACCCGTGGGCGTCATGAAGGTGAGTTTTGAGGGAATTTCCGGGCCTTCCTCTGAAAATCTTCCTCCCTTTGTTCCTCACTCTCATCGCTCTATAAGTTCGTGTTTTAGTGTTCTCGCTACATTTGTGAAGAAATCCGGAACGATATACGTTAGGAGCTCCTTATCGCGGAATATGTAGGATAGCTCGGTTATGCCGGCAAAATTACCGTCACCACTGGGACCGGGAGACCAAACCTTTGCTTAAGCTAAAAGAAATGTCGACACAGAGCTCTAATTTCGATATCCAAGGTATATTTCTCCTTTCGTAATTATTTATTTCTGCCATATATTTCACCACATTTCACGTATAGCTCTCATTCCAATTGCATCTCTTCAAGTACACCTTTTTTTCCACCAAGTGATGTTAACCCATCCGGTAATACGATGTGCATTATTTGCATTATTTGCTACTCCTATTGATCTCTTACTCTCACGTACACGACTTAAATTCTCCTGCTCCCAAGATCTTGCACAAGACCCGCTAAACGGCGCACCCCCCCGCCCTCCCTTTCAAAAACGTATAGCAGTCCGCACTCCTTGTTTATCTAATCCACTATAGTTTTCTTAATTTCCTCCGTTCAAAAATGCTCCTCTCTCAGATAGCACATTTGAATTTCGAATATGTCTCGACATTTCCTCATGTTTACCTTCTCAGATCATAAAATGCCATCCAGATCTTTTCGCAGCTTCGCCGACACTTTCCCAGCCTTGAATTTCAACATAGCAGCGGAAGCGTACTCTTATCTGAGCGGAGCAGCTTCTCGACTCTGCTCCGCATGACAAACATTCCGCAACTGTAGATTCATAACATGATAACAGCACAGTCGGCATAAATACCCATCGTCGCTCCTTCAAACCATCCAGTCTGTTCACTGTGCACTGCTCATACTCTACTCTCTACCATTCCTCGTCCTACAACCAGATCCCAAACCTGCCAGTCCAGGGAATCGTCATCAACCTCAGAGGTACCCACTTCGGACCATCAAGAAGGAGTCCCTCTACTCTTCGAACTGGACGTCCCTTCAGGCACTTCGCTCTCATTGGAACGAGTGGCGGAGATGCCCACTACGGATTCTGACGCGCCTCCTGTTAGCGGCCTGACCTTCGGGCAGCTCGCACCCAAAACCTTAAACGTCTTTTCAGGCTCCGACGGCCAAGACTTCGAGTCTTGGTTTAGGCGCTTTGAGGGTATGGTGCGGATGGTTGACCCACCGCTACCAGAACAACTCAAGACCAACACATTGGTAGGGTACCTAAATGTGGAAGCCCGTGACCTAGTTGATGAAATGTCGGAAAAGGACAAGAACCAATACCGCAAGATAGTTGAGCACCTGCGCGAACATTTCGAGTCACCGCACTTCCGGAGCCTGGCAAGACAGCAGTTAAGTGACTGCAAGAAGGGACCCACTGAGTCGGCCCGCGAGTTCGCACAGCGCATCAAGCAAATCATTAAGAAAGTAACGCGCAATCAACCTAGGCCATCCCATAAGAAAGACTTCTTGATGAGTACCTAGATCGTCTCAGACCTGCCCTGCGCTTTCATGTCAAGGCGGCTAACTCATCATCTTTTGAGGACGCCGTAGTCAAGGCGATCATCCTTGAATCCCTCCTGGCGGACGCTGCAAACGCCATTACCATATTCCCTCCGGCGCAACCGCCACCTCCCGTTGTCCACGCAATACATGCGCAACCACGCATGGAGACAATGCCCCAGCAATACTATCCAGGTGGACGCAACTCCGGCATGCGTAGACCCTTGAGAAATTCCCAACCTAGAGGCATCTTCAATCGCAGAATCGCGGAACGCGCACCCAACTCTGACGTAACATGCTTTCGATGTGGGAGAGTGGGCCACATTCAAACGTTCTGCAGTTTTCAACTCCCTCCAGCGCACTTGGCACCGCCTAAGCCCTTCTATCGTAGCGCAGCCAAACAGCTAGCTCAGAGAGATCCTCGTCAGTCGCGCAACCCATGGGGTAGCAGACAGGCTCCCAACAATCAACAAAGGGTGGGAAATACCCAAGTACCCTTCAGACATCAGGACTTCCTGAACAACCCAATCTTCGCAGTCAACCTAGGGTCTTCGCCATGGAGACAACGGGACCTCAAGACGACCCGCAAATTCAGTCGGATCAAGGGAATACTCAGCAGAAAGATGCCCAAATCGCGGCTCTTCTCGAGAAAAATAGCGCGTTGGCGGATCTCGCATTCGCAACCCTTGACCTGAACCTTCAAGATGTACCGCAAGAACTTCCTTCAGAGAGTACCAGGAGTTCCTCGGCTCCAGTTAGTTGGGCTTATTCCTGTATGCTCGCTATAGCCGTCCTCTCTCAAATTTCGGACGCACACATTATGCCTCCTTTACTATGTTCTAATAAGGCACCGGTTAGTAACTGGAAAATCCCTACCGATATCAACTGTTCTCAAATTCTGCCATCTATATCCGCTAAAGTGAAGCCGCTAACGATCAACGTATATAGGCCCAACGCCGTGCGTTATAAAAGTATCGCCCACGTGCGCCGCGTGATAACTCAAACCGCGACATACTCGGTGAACTTTTTCGGAGCACGGTCTCAATCCGTAGTATCACATGAGCACACAGTATCCACCGACTCGTGTCGCCACATGGTGGCTCACAAGGCCTGCGCTCATGGCGACCTAATCACGGTGGGGACGGTCCTAAAAACTATGAACGCTCTAGAGATCGACTGGCCTTCAGCACCCTTTCAGTGCTTCACAGACTACTCTGTCTTGGTGTCCAACTGTATAGTTTTTCACGCAACAATTTCCACGTACCACGGTTCGGACTCCATCGAAAGCTCCATAGGACCCATGGACAACTGTAATTACCACCGCAGAGAGTGCAATATGCAACCAGGATCGGCAGTGATATGGACCCCCGACAGTCAAGAGAGTTGTAGGTACATTCACGTTTCCTCAATGAAAGGCATATTGGCAGAAAAGGTCTGGCTCAGCGACTCCAGAGAGTTCGCACTTTCTTCTCTCTTTCTGCTACTCCCATTTGTGATTGTGGTCACTCTCTTATCGTCACAGATCAAGGTTATGCTACTGAGCCCCTTTCATATCATCGATCTAAACGCCATGTAAATCTATCTAGCCGCCAGCAGGTTGGTCTAGCTACGACCCACCAGCTGGCTGCACAACTATTAGCTGTTGAAGATGGTATGCAACAATCTGTGTGCGAATCATTCCATCATGCTATCCTTGTTTTCTGCAAATCGATTAATTCTCTCAGTGCTTCTTTAATAGCTGCGATTTCTGCTAACCCTACAATAGCCATGAGGAATATCCTTGAACGATCAGACATTGAAGCCAAGTTCCTAGGAAACAATATCGTTCGCACTTAATCATGCTCCAGCCTTCCACCTTCCATGTACTCGCTCTCGCCATTCAATAAGTCCTGCTTCTCATTACCTTCTATCTCGGTTTTCCTTCCAGATGAGACCCGCTGGAAAGCTTTTCTCGATCCTGTCACTAACATTATCTCTCACACTGCCAGTGCCGTGCCATGTTCAACAGATTTATTATTTGAATTTCCTCTCAACGATTCCGTCTCTCAGTATATGCCGTCTGGTTCATTTCGCATTATTCCTCGTTCTACCATAACCGAAAGTGAGCACTCGTTTAGTCGTCCTCAAAGTACCCTACGTCCCGCTCTCACCCTATTCCATGACTTGGTCATCACCAATATTAACGAGTTCGTCCTCGAACAACAGTTCACTGAGCTATGGGCAGCGCTTGAAGGGAATCAGATTGCTTTGGAGGCTCACACTAGCGCGACAACTCATCACGACCCAAGTAAGCCTAGTACCCTCTCGACCCCATCCTTTCCTCTTAGCTTCGCTAGCTTCCTCTTAACAACTGTTTATAAACCATGGGTCACCCTATGTCGCATAGTAGTCTCGGTCCAGCTTCTATTTCGCATTATCATATCATATATTTCAAGCCAAATTCCCTCGCATTTGTTTCAGTACGTGTTTTCGCTTCTACAGCAAAAGGGGGCGGAGCCAACCCCAGCCAATGCTAGCGCCGCAAAACTACAGTACTACCGCGGAGCCCCAATCCCCCTAGAGCCAGCACCCTTTCTCACGGTTTACATCTTATCGTTAGCGACCCAATCCCTCTCCACACACATACGGATTACGGTTAACGGAGTTAATGTATCGGCATTAATTGACACAGGATCCAGTATCACCCTGGCTGCGCGAAATCTTTGTGCAGCCTTGGGTATCTTCACGCTAGACCCTCCCCAATCTGTCACGGCAATGGGCATGGCAGGTATCCATGTCCCAATGGCTGGACTCAAGAAAGTCCAACTCAGAATCGCCAATATCTGTCTCCCACACACTTTGCATTTCAGCAAGGGTTCGTGCGTTCCTAACATCAACTCAGCGTACGAAGTTATCTTGGGAAATGATGTTCTAGCTTTGTAACCAACCATGACGATTGACTACCAAAATCACCAGGTTTCTTTTGGTCAAGCTACTCTTCCATTGGGTCAAACGTTACGACCCCTCAACCGTTTCCCTGATCCCTTTCCCGGTGTGCGTGAGTGATACTATGAAACCTAAGCCAAACATGGAAACTTCAGTCCCGTGCACCCTAAACAACTGGGGAGAAGCCACAGACTTCACGCTCGTCTCTCAAGCAATGTACCTTTTTCAAAGGGACCTCTCTGTAGCTCCCGCCATAATCAGTTCTAACCAACCAGTTCTACTGGTATGCAATCCTACCAACCAACCTCAGACGCTGTACGCAGGCATGCATATAGCGAAGGCCATGCCATTGAGCAAGGAATTCGCTATGACCGATTACAGTGAGCTATCGCGCACCCCTTTGTGTGGACTCATTTGACGTGGCTGATCCCTCTTATAGGATCAACCTCGATCAGTGGGATGTCACGGACACTTAGCGCCGCGTGCTTCGAAAGCTCCTAGACCGCTATGCCGACGTCTTCTCTCGTCATCAATACGATATTGGCGGCTGCAGGAATAGTCCACACGCACCCGCCGAAATCCGTCCGTATAGAGTACCCGTTAAGGGTCGCGAGGAAATTCAGAAGCACATCAACCTACTGCTGAAAGCAGGGGTTATGAAAGAATCCCAGACCCATTGGGTCCACAATTTGGTTGTCGTTGCAAAAAGGATAACACCCTCCGGGTATGCCTCGACATGAGACGTCCAATCAACGAGGTAACCTGAAACACTTCCAGACCCGTATCCTATCCCACGTATTGACGATGTTCTCGAGAAGATCGGCGGTAACAGCTTCTATACTACATTGGATCTCGCTAGTGGTTATTTGCAACTCCCACTCCATGAAGAAAGCAGCTATAAATGCGGGGTCATTACCGAGAATAAGATCTTCCAAATGACCCATCTCCCCTTTGACCTAAATCAGCCGGTAGCTACTTCGCACGCATAATGTCCAAGGTTTTAGGTGGCCTAGAGGGCAATGTTCTCACCTACATAGATGACATCCTCGTTTATAACAAACAAAGCGTCTTCGCCAGACGGCAGATCACTTTCCTGGAGCACCTCATTAACAAGGACTCATATTCACCCGCTGAAGCCAACACATGAGCGGTTCGCGGATTCCCTACGCCCACCAACACGAAGGAGGTGAAACGGGTTTTAGGTATGGTCGGGTTTTTCCGCAAATTCATCCCCAATTTTGCGGACATAGCAGAACCCCTCACTAGGTTAACCCGTGAACGGAACAAATTCCAATGGTTGAAGCCTCAAGAAGCCGCGTTTCGTGAGCGACGCGATGCTCTGATCAATAAACCCATCTTAGGGTACCCAGACTACAACAACCCCTTTCACACCTTCACGGACGCCAGCTCTGTTGCGCAAGCAGGCGCTCTTATGCAAGATGAGCAACCCGGTTCCAACAGGTTCTGCGCAATAGCTTAATGTAGCCGCACGTTAACGAAACAGAACGTCGATGGCCAGCCGTTTAAATAGAATTAGGTGCCATTATTTATGCTCTTCTTAGGCAAGACGAATATATCGCTCCTTCGGTTCTCCCTTCCGAAATACGATATGCCATCACGTCGATGAAGAACTGTACAGCGCCCGGTCCCGATAGGATCAAACCAGAACATCTGAAGAGTATACCACCAGTCATCATCAAAACTCTGGCTAGGCTCTTCACACGGTACCTGTCGGAATGCAAAGTGCCCACGTCGTGGAAAACTAGCAAGACTGTGTTGCCGTGCAAGAAGGGAGATCCAGACGATATTGGCAATTATCGCCCAATCTGCCTGCTGTCCGTAATCTATAAGCTTTTCACTCGTGTCATCCTAAACAGGATTGGCAGAATATTAGATGAAGGACAGCCATGCGAGCAAGCAGGATTTCGGAGAGGGTTCAGTACAATCGATCATATCCACTCCCTAACAAGGCTCATTGAAGTATCGCGAGAGTACAAAATGCCGTTATGTCTTACGTTTATCGACTTGAAGAAAGCCTTTGACACCGTTGAGACAGAAGCGGTAATTGAAGCCCTGGGCAACCAGGGTGTTCCTACGCAATATATAAGGATGCTTCGTG